TCTCTCTCTCTCTCTCTCCCCTGATTTCCGACTCTATCCACTGTCCTATCTATCCATTAAAGGCATAAAAAAGCCCAAAATAAATCTTAAAAAAAAAAAAAGAAAGCGTTACTCTCCCTTACTACTCCCTGTCCTGCCTCTTATAACCTCTGACATGACATTCATAGTGAAGGCAAAAATTGGGCTAATGAAAGATTATTCAAAAAGTGATATCTTCACATCATATAAAGATGATAAAATATGTTAAACCAAAAAGGTATGCTGGTACATGCTAAAAATGCTCCCTGATGCTCTTTAGCGGAAACACATTAGGTAGAATAAACAACACTGGGAAGGAAACAAAATGGTATCTCAATGATTATCTCAACTTTATACAAATACTTCATCTATAGATCTGCCTGAGAGATCAGATTCAATGGCATGTGTGTCAGACCTAAAACTTGCAGTGAATTTAGACAGAGCATGGACGGTTGGTCTCTCTGAAAATCCAATTTCTGTGCTATCATATTAAAGCTCAGTACTCATTCATGTTTCTCACCTATGAAGTTGACACTGTCTGGCAGAGGTCTGGCAGTCAGCGGTCCGGAGTATTTAGTGAGGCTCTTATCAAACAGGAAGACTATGGAGCTGTCCCAGCCTTGCTGAAAGTAGAGAGAAAGTATGGCTGTATTTACTTCAGAGTGTTCGAGTTGAGGTTTTTCATATAAAATAAATTAACAATAAGTCTTATTCAGATTTATTATAAGCATTGTTCACTTGACTAAAGACCGTTTGGAAACTGATGTCATAAAAACAAAACAATTACATGACTTTCATAAACATGAATATAAAAGAACAAAGGTCTTCTGCTGAGCATGCACTTGTGGTTTGTGATTGTTGACATTGCATGTTTCTTTTGTGTTCGTCACATACCAACCCCTCTGGCAGACAGTGTGAGGGTGGCCATCGTGGGTCGAGGGAGATTCCCGTCTCCAGCAGCAGCTCCTGACTCAGCGGCGCGATGTGTGTCTGCGTGTGTGTCTCTAGGCGGAGCTGCAGGGAGTGTAAGCTCTCCTCTGGCTCCAAAACAAGCGAGTGCAGCTGTGCCGACGTCATGTCCAACACGTGGATCACCTGCAGAAAGAAAATGCACAGTAAGGCGGGGGTTTTCTTTTTCAACAGGGATACATGAAACTCAAATGATCTAATAATAAAGGTGGGGCAAACTATCGAGATGGCAACATATTGTGGTTCTGACTTGTGAGATACAGTAATCGGATAATTTATTCAAAATCTTGATAATATCATTTAAAAAAGGCGCTCTGAACACATTTTCCTGGAAATGTGACTCTCAGCGTCACTAGTTTATGACTAAAGAAGAAGTCGACTGCAGACTAAAAAACGGAGAAGAAGACAGCGTGATAATGTCGGACAGCGATGTCAGGCGGTTAAGATATGAAGCGTGATAAGAGGTGAAACTGAAACTTAATTGTGAACAAATACATGAATCCTGCACGTTTCCTTTTAAAGGCATTTTATATTCTTCAGGTAATACGATATCCTGATGCATCATTATGTGATTGTCTTGCAGTACATCAATTATTGCAGAATCTCTGTATTGTGATATTAACACGTTTTTGTAACTTCATTTACTCTGTGATTCCACGCCTCACCGAAAAATATTTTTTTTAAGTGACGAAAGATTTAAAGTAATGACCTTCATGTTGAGAATTTTCTGCAGAGCCGAGTAGTAGCAGGGCTTGTTTGTGTCAGGATCCTGCCCTCCACCTCGGGCTGCAGGGTCCCACAGTAACAACATCTGAAGTAGAGACTCTACAGGTTCAAGCAGCGGCCTGGAAGCACACACAGACACATGCACACAGAGGTTAGAAGCAGAGATCAGAATAAAGGATGCTTGACTGGCATGAATTAAAGAACTCAGTCTTTTTTTTTTTAAATCTCTACCTGCTGATATTGTTTGGATAAGGCAGACGTGTTGAGAATCTGACTTCGCCATTCATATCCTCGACTGCCATGATGTCTTTGGGACCTTTGTTCTTCACTTTACTTGTCCTAAAAAAGAAAAAAAACAATTATTGCAAAAAGTTTCGACTTATGATAAACAAGATAGAAACTTGATGTACAAAACTGTCAAAATACTCAAATTTAAAATGCAGATGTTGTGTGAATAAAAAGAATGTCATCAATTTGTTTGTGTACTGTATATTCCATGTTTAAAATGAGTCTGTGTGCTCATTGTACATTTCTTATATTAGGATTCAGGGTCTGTAAAATCCCTCAAATGTGTATTTTTATTTTATTTTATTTAACCTTTATTTATCTAGGAAAGTCCCACTGAGATTAAAACCCTCTTTTTCAAGGGAGTCCTGGCCAATGTATGCCAAGCTTCCTCTGAATACAGACAGGAAATGCATCTGTGCCATGATGACTCACCACTGTACAGGCTGCATGTGGTGCAGAAAGGGGCGAAAGCCACATGTGCATTCAAAGATCACCGTCCCAAAGCTCCAGTAGTCTACACTCACGGTGTAGGGTTTACTCTCAAACAACTCTGGAGCCTGAAATGCACACAGGTAGACTTACAGAGAGAAAAGTATTGGGGGAAAACATTTCTGATAAAAAAAAACACTTACCAGATACTGCAGAGTTCCTACAAAGGATGTGCAAAGACTGCCCTGATCTAGGTCTTTTGCATAACCCAGATCTATGATTTTATGGAGAAGCTGAAGGGGGGAAAACGTTTCATAATGAGAGAAAGGAACAGAAAACCACTGAGTATATACAATTTGCAGATTACAAAGGATGCACATACAAAAGGAAATGAGCTCACCTTCCCACCAACTTCCTGCAGAACAATGTTCTCAGGTTTTAAGTCTCTGTGAATAATCTTATTCTCATGCAAATACTGAATACCCAATCCTGTACTTGGAGAGAAAATATCAGTTAGGGCATTATGCATCAACATGTGGCTTATTGTAGTGAAAGTAAAAGAAGAAAATACTACCGATGTCACTGAGCAGCAAGAGGACTTCACTTTCTTTTAGCCCACAACAGTTTTCTGGTTTATTCAACATCTAAACAAAGAAGAAGTTAATAGCATGATGCTTGGAGGGATAACAAATAGTCTGTGGTCCTCAGACATTACCCACTTGGTACCTTGCGTAGGTCTCCTCTTGAGCAGTACTCCATGGCCAAAAGAGGTAAGTCATTCAAAGCAATGGCGCTCAACTCCTCTGGCACCTCTCTGGCCTGGACCACATTCACATGATTCAGCCTACAACAGAAAGAGAGTAAAACATACGGTTATGATTTGAAACGAGGAAAACAAGCTTACACAAGTTGAGGATTTAAACGCACTTCTTCATGATCTGGATCTCTCTGCTCCAGCGGTCTTTATTCTTTGAGTTCAGCTCCAGGCGGCAAAGTTTCACAGCAATCTTCTCTCCCGCCTCCTGATCCAAACACAGACAAAGGATATAAGCGAGCCGCAGACACATCAGGGAAATATATATGATCTCACAGAACATACAAGGTGCTGGTACAGGTAGACATGCCCAAATCCTCCCGTTCCAAGTCTCTCCTTCATCTCCCAAGAGCCGCACAGCTGGCTCTGTTTGAGGGCAGACCGCTCCATAGTGTGAGGTCTAAAACAAGGTAGGCTGCTAGAGACCTTTGTAAATAAAAGAGAGAATACAAAACATGTGTCACTGTCCTGAAACATCAGAAATACTTGATTAATCCCTGAGGGGAATCTTGGGCGTTACAATATCTCCTACACAGAATATAAACCTAGAGATATAGGCATAGAGATATAAGATATAAGCATAAAGATACAAATCTAAGCATGAAGATATAAGAGATAAGGGAGAAATATGCAAATGTCAATTATATGTACAATAAAAAAACAACAATATATATACACTAGGAATGAAATAAATATAGCAACAAGTACAATAAATAACCATTTTATAAACCTGTTTTGGATTTCATGCGTGCTTTGAATCTATTTGTTCATTTTTTAAAGGAGTTTGTTTTGTGTTTATTTATTCTAGTCATATGAGAAGTTTTTTTTTTTAAGGAGGTGTTCGCACATCCAACTATCTCATAAAGTAGGTGCATAGGGCGACAAACTATTACTTTAAAAAAAAACACTTGACAAAGGTCCAGAAGGACCGAAACGATGTGATTTTTCTAATAAATTGGTGATAATTGGCAAGAGTAGTGTGCAGGATTTGTGATTTGTATGAAATGTGCTACACAAATACAAATACAATTTGAATTGAATAAGAAATATAGCAGTATGTAGATATTTAAATATGTACTGCCATGTATCCAGAATTTGAATATGTAAAAATATGTTCTTTAAAAAATGAGTATGTACAGATGTGTGCATCACATACAGATGTGTGCAACATGTACAGATGTGTGTATCATGTACAGATGTGTGCATCATGTACAGATGTGTGTATCATGTACAGATGTGTGCATCACGTATAGATGTGTGTATCACGTACAGATGTGTGCATCACGTACAGATGTGTGCATCACGTACAGATGTGTGCATCATGTACAGATGTGTGTATCATGTACAGATGTGTGTATCATGTACAGATGTGTGTATCATGTACAGATGTGTGCATCACGTACAGATGTGTGTATCATGTACAGATGTGTGTATCATGTACATATGTGTGCATGATGTACAGATGTGTGCATCATGTACAGATGTGTGCATCATGTACAGATGTGTGCATCATGTACAGATGTGTGTATCATGTACAGATGTGTGTATCATGTACAGATGTGTGCATCACGTACAGATGTGTGTATCATGTACAGATGTGTGTATCATGTACATATGTGTGCATGATGTACAGATGTGTGCATCATGTACAGATGTGTGCATCATGTACAGATGTGTGTATCATGTACATATGTGTGCATGATGTACAGATGTGTGCATGATGTACAGATGTGTGCATCATGTACAGATGTGTGTATCATGTACAGATGTGTGTATCACGTACAGATGTGTGTATCACGTACAGATGTGTGCATCACGTACAGATGTGTGCATCACGTACAGATGTGTGCATCACGTACAGATGTGTGTATCATGTACATATGTGTGCATGATGTACAGATGTGTGCATGATGTACAGATGTGTGCATGATGTACAGATGTGTGCATCATGTACAGATGTGTGTATCACGTACAGATGTGTGTATCACGTACAGATGTGTGTATCACGTACAGATGTGTGTATCATGTACAGATGTGTGTATCACGTACAGATGTGTGCAACACGTACAGATGTGTGTATCATGTACAGATGTGTGCATCACGTACAGATGTGTGTATCACGTACAGATGTGTGTATCATGTACAGATGTGTGTATCATGTACAGATGTGTGCAACATGTACAGATGTGTGTATCATGTACAGATGTGTGTATCATGTACAGATGTGTGAAACATACAGAAATAATAAATAAAAAAGGGTATACAGCAGTTTAAGTTCAATAATAAATAAATGAGTTTTATTTATAGCACTGAAATAAGTACAGCTTAATAGACATGGTTTAACTCTCAGAGGGTTATTATGTGGATCTTCACACACCTGTCCTCTATACATCTACAGGTAACACATTTAAAGGAAACATGCTTATAATCCCAGAAGTTATGTCCTATGAGGATGATCAGATTAATCTTTTATCACAATTACTGCTCAGTTAGCGTGGCAAACCCAAACTATAAAATCAATGAAAAGTCCACTAAAAGAAACCACTCTAACATTAAACATTAAAAACGTACCTGTGCAGGAGGTCAGGGTCCAGAGTTGACAGTGAGCTCAGGCTAACTTGTGATTTCTGAACATTGTTGCTCAGAGTTAGCTTGCTGTGTTGTTTACGGTTTGTTTTCTGGTTAATTGTGACTCGAGAAGGCCGAACCCGTCGATATGATTCATTTAGCCGCTTACAGACAATCAAACGTTGCTTTAAACACAAAGGTTTACGATTTGTTTTCGTGAAATTTTCAGGTGGGAAGCTTCAACGAGAGCCGAACAATCTAGATAACTATGCAAAGTGAAAGTCTGCCTTCAGGTGTTGTCGGAAATATCGGAAAAACGAGGGTCCAACTTAAAAATGAAGGCGTGTGCACCCTCAAGTCGTTACAAAAAGTGGGATAAGAAGTGATATCTGACATGCTGAGCCATTCAATGTACCCTCATAACACGCAGAAACCATACTGGACCAAAGTAAAAGCTGGCGTGTTATTCAAAAACGTTGCAACCTCATACAAACAACATATCACTTAGCGCGAATTTGTCTGGCTAACTCATTCTATGTTTTAACGTTGTAACCATAAGTTTCTGTTACCTTAAATTAGTTTTGAGGTGTGAAATACAAAAACATATTATGTCCATGTTGTTGTTATGATATTATAACGACTTCGTGAAGAACGATTTTCTGATTCGGAACTATCCGAGGAGTACGGGAATGCAGCATTTGTAGAGAGACAAGCCGACGTTGTTTCTGCGCATGCGTGACTTGCTTGTCTAGCTTTTGGAAGGACTACGCCCTCTGTAGGGGGATTTCCCACCCACCCACATCTAAACTAGCTGATTAAAGTGGCGCATTTAACATCAACAGGGGTGTTAAATAAGTCTTCTCATTTTACCCCCTTAACCATAAAACAACCAAGGCCATAGCAAAGAAAAAAGAAAACATTTGCAAAAGTTTGATAAGGTCTTAATGATTTCACTAGATGGTGCCATATGCACATCTTCAGTCATGATGCAACAGCAAACATTGTTTAATACAGTACTTAAACTGAAAGGGTGACATGTGAAAGGCTGTATGTATTTAAGACAGTTATCCTTTGTCTACACACATATTCATTTTAAGATTACATTTTCAAGAACAGCCCATGCACACACAAAAACTAAAAATGTTTATAGCACGCAATCTTCACAATTATCATAGATGTGAGTTCCTCTGTTAAAAAAAACCACTTGGTTGCAAGTGGTTTTAAAACACCTGTTTTTTCCCCCATTTTTCAATCATAAAAATAGTCTTATATTTTGTTATTCTTTCTTAACAGAAGTGTGATTTTTCAGGATTTACTCATAATTTCTCAACATGTGAAACAAAAGATGACAGGGCCATGAGCAATAAGTCACGATATGTGACAACACATTAAAAACAATAATAAACCGCTGATGCTATGGCAGCCAGTGCTGTTATATACCTTCAACAAAACTACTTCTTACTCAAACAAAATGTTCTGAAATTGGCTTTTGTGTTGTTTCGGAAGAAAGATGAACTACAGAGAAAAGGAAAGAAGGGAAGTTAATTTGTAAATCCTCAGCACTGTTTGTGGCCTGACACTTTACACTGTTTACATCTTCTACATTTTGTATAATTATATATTTATTTATTTTTAATCTTACCTTATTTTTCTACATTTACTGTATAATACTGTATGTGTATTAGTAATATTTGAGTGTTTATTACATGGCCTTGTGGAACAGTCTTTACATTTCACTGCACATCTGTTTGAGTATGTGACAAATAAAAATCTTGAATCTTGGCCTGGAGACTTTCAACAGATCCAGGGTGAATTCGAAAAAACAAAGTAAGTTTTTTAAAATCATCAGTACTGAGACTGAAAGCACAACCCGTCTCCAAAACAGTTGGCACAATTAATACACCCTAACCCTGAATGTGTAAAGACTCAATTAAAACAAAATTATAAAATAGATGCACTGAGGTAAAGTCCAACATTGTCCTAAAGGTCTGACAAGATAAAATTTGAATATTGTTAGAAAATCCTGCAACAGGATTACTGTAAACAAGACCCTGTCCTTTTTGAAAAGTGTTGCTGGCATCAAATTGTTTTTTATTTTCCAAAAAGAATGACATTTCTCAGTTTCAACCTTTGATATGTTGTATTTGTATTTTCAGGGTTTCAGTGTTTAACAAATCACTTCATTCTGTCTTTATGCCGTTCCTGTGGGACAAAAGGTTACAGTTAATAAGAAAAAAATAAATCCAATGAAATTACAAACGTTTTTTTATTACAAGTTCTAAAAGCAGCTTTTCAAAAACTGCTTTCACAACCTTTTTATTTTAACATTTTGGCTTTTTTTCTCATTACGCTGGAAAGCAGAAGTGAACAGGTGTCTTGTGATGAAACGAGAAGCAGACATATGTGAACATAAGTGGCGGAACTCAAGCCGCGAGAACATTACAGTTCAGAATGTGTTCCTGGCTGTTTTACCTTCAAGCTCTTCAGGTTTTATGTTTTTTTTTTTTTTTAAGGAAACAGGAACCAGAGGACAGTTAAATGGCCATCAGAATTTCAGCAGGAAACTGAATGTAATGATTTAAAATGAAAATAATAAACTTCTCATCACAGACTTTTAAAGACACTCTGACAAAAGTAGAAGGCATCAACTATAATCAAGCCAACAGACACATATCTTCATATGTTCATGTTCATATTGTTCATATTCTTTAAATTATTCTTTAAATTATCTGTAAACTTGTATAACATGCTCACTGCATCTTAATCTGTATATTATTAGTATAGCATGCTCACTGCACCTTAATCTGTATATTATTAGTATAGCATGCTCACTGCATCTTAATCTGTATATTATAATCCTAAAAACACACTTATTTTGTAGCATTACTCATTTATAGCATTTATTTATTTTTATTGCATCCCATTAATCCAGCCATCCAGATATACCTCATAATTCACTTTTTTTGGCTACATCTGTAAATTTTGCAATTACTGTACATAGCACAGAATTACTGTACATAGCACAGACTCTTGCACTTTCTGCTTATTTGCACTTCTGGTGAGATGCCAAACCTCATTTCGTTACTCTATACTTGTATATGTGTAATGACAATAAAGTTGAATCTCATCTCATCTCATCTCATCTCATCTCATCTCATATCTATAGAATATATCTGCTCTATATCATGTCAAGGATAGTTTCAATTTGAACCCTTATCTGCATCTTCACGTCATTCTCATTTCTCCTTCATTTTCTCTACACTGAGGTCAATGTGTTTGTGTGCAAACCCTCAAAAAGCGCTTACATGTCTTAGTGGAAATGGACATGTCACATAAAAACCATAGTAATGCACAATACTCCCCATAGAGTTACATACTGTACAAACAGGAGACCACACAATTAGACCTATGGACCTGACCTATCAAAAAGCCCCCCCAAAAAATACATCCTGCTGGTCTTTCCATGTGTTGACGGGTCACTCATGAGGTCTTTAAATCTGCAGGTACTTTCCACCAGTGGGCTTCTGATACAGCCTTTAGCACACCTTTTATTCCTCTACTGCAATTTAGATCTTTTAAAGAGATATATAAGTAACAAGTTGAGGAAGAAATCAAAACTGAAAGAAGTGAGTCTGAAGCCTTCGGGGCTGAACAGGGATTGCATGTGTCCTGGGCAATTATCCCGGGTTTCCCTGAGTTAGGTAATGTCTGCACAATTCTTGTTTTTGTTCAATATCTGTGTGGGTAAAGTAGACACTTATCAAAATCTGAATTATCAAAGTAGATCAATTACTGAACTAATGTGGGTTGTTTTGTGTCTCATGCTTCCTGACCTCCTACATGTTGTATTTTACCTCTTCCTTTAAAGCCGTCCGGTCCGCAGAGCCCTGCACCGAGGTGTCATATCTGCCCATTGTCACAGTCCCTGAGATGGAAGCATGAGTAACACAAGCGTCAGAGATTTGAGTCCAGAAATCCCCGAACATGATCAAGTGCTCATTGTTTTTGAGGAAGTTGAGTAAGATTAATAGTATGATATGTTATTTATTGAACGACAGCTGCAGCCTCATGGAAAACAGATTTATTAGTAAAGAATAAAGTAGGTTAAACTCATCCGGTTAATTTATAGATGTTTATGTAGCAGAAGTTTGTGCTTTTAGGTGATCTGGATAAATGATGCAGCTGGTTACAAGTGACAACAGAGAGATGATTCAAGAGGATGTATAAGTCAGTATTCATGCAGGGGATGGTCTTCTCTTAGTGATGTCATTGTTTCTTATACAGCGATGATTGTAACAATCACATCCTTTGGTTCTGATTTTTGTGTGTAATTGGTTTTAACGATAAAAAAAAAAGAAAAACATGCTCAGAGTGAGAAGCGTCCTGCTTGTTACGTTTAAGAAAAATGATCATTTGTTTTTTAGTAGCATCTTTATTAATGAGGTCACAGACTGATGGACAAGTAATGCAACAATCATTAAAAACAAACAAACAAATAAAGCAAATAAGCTTTGGGGTGAAAGAGTAAGAATACACAAGTCTTAAAGTCACACTCCTGGGATACGAGTGATTTGTTTCTCTCATTTACTTAAACGCTGTGCAGCTTCCTGTCCTCTGTCTCAGACTGATGAAATATAATATGTAATGTTAGAGAAATGTTATCGTCCCAATGTTTATGTGTTTTTGTTGTTGCAAAGTTTAATCCTCAGGGTTTCTTTTTTCTTCTTTTGACGATTTGAACTTAACGCTCTTTAAAATTGTATCGCTTAGTTGATAACATTTTTAATCCAGCAATATTTTTCAGAGTTTAGGAGTTTGATTTCTAGACACTTTGTTTCAAATTGTAACTGTTTTTGATTTAGCTCAGTGCTTTTTGTAATTGATTTTAAGCGTTTGTTGTTGTTTTATTGTGCTTATGATCTCGACGGCATTGGAAATGAGGGAAACCTCAGTATCCTTTGGAGAATAAATTAAGGTTTGAATTGAATTGAATTGAATTTTATTTATTGTTATTTCTCAACAGTTTTTTTCTCATACGAAGCACTACGGGCTGAATGTTTGTATGAACGGTGGATTATAAATAAAGATTAGTTAGGTTGATTTCATATATTGCAGCATAACACTTTAGGTAAGGAAAATCTGGAAATTCACTGATGCTTGATACGTGATCATTTGTCTCTTTTGTTGTGTGAATTGAGTCATTGTGATGATTACAAATTCAACCGCCTGCAATACATGAAAGGAAATATTTCCACATAGACTCTTAAATGGTTCTATAGTATTGATGATGATGATACTGACATTTAATAGATATACAATCTGAATCAAATGGAGCAGAGGACAACTACACATTTTATGCATTTAAAGCTCCTGTGAGGAGTTTTCACCTGATTATTAAACTGACTGAAAGTCATATTGATGCCTCTTAAAGAGTTACAAAAGCAAACGATACACTCGGGGACATGATTGACTTTTTCTGTACAGTAATTTTGAATGCCTGAAACTTTAGGTGCCAGACAAAGTGATGACAGAACAGAAAGCAAAGTGCAAAACTTTTCTGACACATGAACAGGACAAAATCAGCAAAGGGTTAAGAGGTACAACTTTGTCAACAGGACATATATAGACACATATAGACAGTTTCTCACATGACCTTTAATGATGTACCTTCATGAAATGGGACACCTTATGCTGATTAAATGAGAGCATTTGACGGGAGCACGACCAAGCAAATGCAGATCATATTTGGTACATCATAATATACTTGGGAAAAACTGTTTTTATACTTTCACAGATTCAAGAGGGGAAATTTAAAGAAAAAATGTCAAATGTTAAGTTGGGTGGATTCCATCCTGTGCAACGTGTGTGTGGTAAAAATAAATCGTAGAGTTTAGAGTTCTAAGAATCTACTTATAACCTGTACTTCTACCTTTGAATCAGATGTGGGACTTTGTACCAACAGCTGCAGACATGACCAATTATGGATACATGATGTATGTTTCTTAAAGCTGTATTACTGTGGTTTTAGGGGAAGGAGGGGGTGTGAAGTGTGTCTGTGTCAGAGAGGAAGTGATGAATGCTTCAGACAATACGTTGCCGATCAGCAACAGAGATGCAGTGATGTTTTCAAGCCCTCCTCACACTAAACCCCTCCCACTGCAGCCGGTGTGTTTTTAAATGGGAGGGAGAGCAAGGAGGACCAGCACAAATCAGAGGATACAGCATCACCTCAGCGAGACAAGATAACAAAGAGCCTCACCAGGAGTACGAGTACAGACACAAAGGTAAATATCTCTCTGACAAAGCTTTTGATGACCATGATATTTGACAAAAGTTAAATTGTTTGAGTCTCTTTACAGTGCCTAATATTGAAGATCATTAATGTTATTCATTGGGGTTTATTATGTGTAGAGTGTATGTCACCTTCTGCATAAAACATTGACTCCCAGGGAGAAACCTGACCCAAAAAAAAAGTTAATGCAGGAAAACCAATCTGAATTAACTTCTAAATGATTCATGTCATAGATGTGTAAAGACCTTAATTGTACAGATTTCAATGTGCACACTAAAGATGGATGCATTTTAGATAGATTTCAAGCAAATCCTTCACACGGATATGAAAAAGAAGAGACCCACACAGAGGGACTTGTTTTGTATGAGGAAAATGTATACAACGGTAAAAAATGGTTTGTAAAAATCATGTCTGTGTTTATGCCGTGCATGGTCTTCTTATGTGAAATAACGTGATCTTAAACATCATATATTGTGTGTGTCTGTGTGTGTTTAGGTTCTGTGGTTTTAGTGAGACTAAACATGCCTAGAGTGTTCAATTTCCAGCTTGACTCGTTTAGAATATATAAAAATATACTGACGTTGCAACTTGTTAATGTGGTCAGATGTTCGTCTTTGAAGACTTGAAATAGATATTAACTGAAAAGATCAACATGGTGAAATCATATTTGCACAAGAAGAAAACAGAATTATACAAATAGTTTTCGAAGCAAATCATTCACATACTTCAGGTAAGGGAACGGAGACAAACTGTATTTGAAAGGAGTAAACTTAAAGCTCCTGAGTGTAGATTTGATCTGGTAAAGAAATAAACTGAAATAAAAGCAGAAATCTCTATACCACCATCAAAAGCAAAAGAGAGAAGACTTATTGCTTTTATAAAGTCATTTTATATCCCTGTCACTCCTGTCGTGGGGAAGGTGTCAGACAAACTGATGAACAGCACACTGCCTGAACGACCTTTTTTAATAGTTTGCATACCAAAGATTCAGTATGAGTTGAGCAGAAAACTCTCCGAACACTTGTACAGGAAAAGATTATCAACTACATAAATCATCTCGCCCCGTCCGAAGAGGGTACCAAAGTCAACATGATCCAAAAGATCCTCAAAGGAGCTTTAATCTATACGCACATCAAAGTGTTTGTTTGCAGAAATTGGACATGAAAATAAAATTTGAACCATTCTTTTGTCAGTATCAAATTTATACTGTGACCTTGAAATATCTATAAGATCTATGTTTGAACTGTACACTCTGCAAAATAAAACCGATGTTATTTTGTGCAGCAATCAGCCTAAATAGATAATGTCCTCACTGTACAGATAGAGATGACGTTTACAGAACAGAGCGCACGCAGTTAGCATGCTCTATCTTGCACATTCAAACCTCCACAGCATGGTCTTCCCCTCCAAATTAAATGTACAATGCATACTGTGTGATGTGAAACTTTAACCCAGACAAGGATCCACGCGTCTTTCCAGTAGACACACATGTCTGTTCAGTCATGTGCTCAAAGATGAAGTCCATATAAGGCCATCAGGGCTTTGGATTCAGAGGTACAATGTTGTTCATTTCTGGATTTTTTCTTTTCTTTTTGCAGACAAAAATATCCCCAATAAGGAGAAGTGGAACCAGAAGTGAAGATGAACCTGTTAGTCATCCTCGCTGTATTTGCCGCTCTAAGTGTTGATGTGGTAAGCATAAAAATGAGGAAGTAAATAGAGGTTTTATTGTCATTCCCACGGGACTCAGAAGATTTTTCTAAATTAGTCTCAAATGTGTTTGTGTGTGCTCTTTCTCAGGCTTTTTCAGGAAAAAGGTCCAAAAAGAGATGGTTACCTGAGCCCCGGGAGACTAACAATGGTGAGCCAACACTCAGTGCAACGTATTCTTAATATTCTAAATATAACTGTGATGCCAGATTTGAAATGATCCCATCTCTCTCTTTTTGTTATGTTATCTGCAGAGATGTGTCGGTCTGGAGACGGGAGCAGCTACAGAGGATTTGTGTCAGAGTCGGCATACGGAAGCAGATGCATCAACTGGAACAGATTCACTCAACCAAGAGGAGCTTCAAAAGGACTTGGGGACCATAACTACTGCAGGTATACTTCCAATCCCCTTCATCAATTAAAGTGTGCAGCATTCGAGTCCAAGACAAAATTACAGTAAAAGTGTACGGTATGACATGATACGGTACAAATATATTTGTCAAATATTGGCCAAATATGATAGTATGTTTAATGTTTTTGATTGTATGGAATCGTAAAGTAGTGTATCATGTGGTGTTATATTGCATCTAATTAAATTGTATGTTTTTGTGTCATATTTTATTATGTCCTGTCCTATCCTCATATGTCGTGCTTTATCGTATCATAGATAGATATATAAATACTGTTGCAGAATATGACACTTATACAGCAGCTGCAATCACAGTCAAGCCATTGCATCAAAACACTGGACGATAACTTATCTTATCTTATCGTTTAAATGCATAGAATCGTTTAATATCTTATCTGAAAAATGTATATGAGGGAGAGCTATCATGTGTTGAATATGAGTTGATCTGAATTCCAGGAATCCAAACGGGAGTTTGATGCCGTGGTGTCGTGTCCGCAGAGGACAGAAGTACTTAAGAGAATTCTGTGATGTTCCCAGATGTAAGTAAGATAGTAAAATAATTAATTAACCATTATATTGAATGTTTGGCTGGATCTTTGTAGTGATCTCTGTTTCTTGCTCCCTCACAGGTTCTACAGAGACGGTGAAACCTCCTCAGGCCGTGGATACAGGTTTGTTTGTCTGAATGCTGTCCAAAGCTGTTCCATCATCTCTTTTTTGGTGCTTCTGTTTTTCAGTTTCACTCAATGACTCGTGACTTTGTGTCCCTGCAGAGCTGACATGTGGGGAGAGGTCTGAGCGGAGGCTGAATAAAATTGTAGGTGGCTCCTTCTCACCTATCGAGTCTCAGCCATGGGTGGCTGCCCTCTTTCAGCAGCGTTCTGGTTTCCTGTGTGGTGGCTCTCTCATCGCACCGTGCTGGGTTGTCACAGCCGCACACTGTTTCTCAGACGGGTGAGTAAAAAAAAACACAGCACTCTATCATTTCCTCCTCTGCAATACTTCTACTTTAATAGCAACATGACTCATCGGGGTGTGCAATATGTTTACTACACCGTTGTGTGGTTATGTTAACCATTTGTGTTTTCTATTCAGCGACGACACCAACATCAAGCATCTGTCTGTTTACCTGGGGAAGTCTGCCATCAATGAAACTGAGGCTGACAAGGAACAGAGCTTCACGGTGGAGAAACTCATCATCCATCAGAAATTCAACGAGTCCAATTTTGACAATGACATAGGTAAGCACAACCGCACCATGTGAAAGGACACAGCTGCGTTTCCAGAGCAGGAACTTTCCACATGGATTAGGGACTTTAGGAGGTACTGATACATTTTCACTATGGGTCTGCAGGGGAGTTATAGCTTTCTGAAAGTACAAGTACTGGAGACTGGAACTTGTAAAGCTCAACATTTGTGATTGGTAAAGCACTGATGGCATTCAACTCTTTCAATTGCAAAAGACTTCAGTTCAAATAGCATCATGACACCATTTCAACACCTCCCTCTAATTACCATTCACGTGATCTTAAGTCAAATCTTTCTGAAAGCTTCGATTCACGGGTTGGGATGACATTTTCAAAAAATGGCAGAGCGCATGGTCGTAAGTGTTTTCACACTTAAACCCAAAGCCTTTCCTGTACACAAATTCACAACACGACTTTATTACTTCCAAGTTCAACAAGTTCCATTTTAAGGACTCAAGAGGCCTTGTTTGAAGCGCAGACAACTACAGTCTTGAGGAACTTTTCGATCCCTTCAAAAATGACTTTTTTATTATTATAAGCCCCAGGAAAAATTTTAAATTAATTAATATTGCAAAAACTTAAATTAATATTCAAATACTTGATCCTGTCGGCCACATGCCCTTAGAATCAACCTTACTGTTTCTTCCCCATACAGGGCCCTATTCTGCTTTTGGTGGAAACGAGGACTGTGAGTCAGTAAGAAAAGAGCCCAATGGTGCTAAGATACATTTTGTCTTTGTCTTTCAGCGCTGTTGAAGATCAAAAGCAGAAGTGGAGGATGTGCGGTGAAGTCAGAGTCTGCTCGGACAGTGTGTCTTCCTCCGCTTCGCACTCAGCTTCCTGCAGGAATTCAGTGCAGCATCGCAGGATTTGGACATGAGAGATCCTGTATGTAGTGCAGATACTCTAACCCACAGATTAATGACAGACCTCTCATGCCATTTCAGTCCATTCTTATCACCTATCAATGTGTTA